TCATAACGCGATAGGCGCGCGCTGCACAATGCAGCGCGGCCATACGCGACGGCATTAAGCATTATATATATATATGCGTAATTTACGAAGGTTATTTACTATACAATTAGATAGCCCGCGTCAAGTATTACGCGCGGTGCGCGCACGTACGGCGTTGCGAGCGCGTGCACACACGCGCGTGAGATGCACCTCGGACGTGCATGGTAATGGTCCAAGGGTCTCATCAGTGGCACACAGTGCGAAGGAAGTGAGAAAGAGAGGGAGAGGGGGGCAGGAGGGGAAAAAGAGGGAGAAAGCGAGGGTGAGAGAAAGAGGGGGAGAGAGAGAGAGAGAATACTCACTTTTTCCTGCGGCGTATCTAGGATAATATACGATATATACGGTGTAACGAGGTATGTAATGGGTAATAGTGCGTAATGATATAATGCGCACATTCCTCGACGTACGTCTGCTATAACAAACATTGTTAGAGAGAATGCGCGCGCGCGAGCGCCGCATCCTCGCGCGTGGTCCTCGTAGGATATGCACTTTGGTGTCGGGTTCGCCGGCGAACGAGAGCGCGCTAACGAGACCATGTGTTAGAAATGAAATTACGCGAGCACGTCAATTACGCGTCGAGTCAGTCGCGGGATGTTTGCTCTCTCTTTCACGGTTGTGCGACGATAACCGCGCCAATTCGGATCGCGCGCGCTAATCCCCGGACGTTCCGTTATCATACGGTATTTTTACGTGCTCTCCTTTCTCGTCGCTGTCAATCGACGCGTACCGACCGAGAGCGATCAAATGTTTTCTTTTCAGATCGACGTTAGTTTCTTGAGCATTTGGATTTTGTCGCGATTAATCGGATTGAGACTTTCGGCGGAACGGAATGATGACGTTTGGTCGAATCTACGTACAAAAAAACGTACAAAAAATTACAACCAACCAGACGGTCTGTGGTTTGATGGTGTCTACTTTTTTTTTTCAACAAAGAAATCTCCATGCGGGAGCGGACGTTTCCTCAATGAAATTATATGACAAATTAGCTCCTCGCGAACACATTCAAATTAGTATACGACTCGGAAGCGACCAACATTGATTGATCGATGCTACCAGTTGAGCGTGGATCATAAAAAGATGTAGAACCGTGCCCCTCGAAGTTATTCGAGAGAGAGAGAGAGAGAGAGAGAGAGAGAGAGAGAGAGAGAGAGAGAGAGAGAGAGAGAGAGAGAGAGAGAGAGAGAGAGAGAGTGTCCGTACTGTGCGTGCACAAAGTAGAGATCCGTTCGCATTCACCGTAGATTGCATCGGCCGGTGCGCACTTGTCGAACGATAAAAGCATACCGATAACAAGAGCATGCGTTAGAACCGAATTACGCAGGCGCCGGCTATACCGCAGAGTCGACGACACCGTGAACATTGTTGGTATATTGCGCGGATGAGATATAGAATCGCATAAAGGGAGTTACCAGTAATTAGACTCCTCGAGTAATTAGACTCCTTCTTTCTGTTTGCCCTCATCCTCGATCGAACGGAGCTATCGTATCGCGCGGATAATTGTCGAGCGCTATAACCGCGATTTGCGAGGGAGTCTGCGCGAGAGCGTGCTGTCACGCGCGCCTCAATTATCTAAATGTACCCCGCTGTTTCTATTTTTCTCCCTCGACATCATATACATTAACTGATAACATGTAGATATTATAGAGTTTGATATTATGATTGAAGTAAATCACGATTGAAATAAAAAAGGAAAAGGAGAACGAGAGAGAGAGAGAGAGAGAGAGAGAGGAACAGAGAAAGATAAAAGACGACGCGGTCGACTTGTTTTTGAGCAGCTAATGAACGAGGTTAACTGGTTAAAGCAGAAATAATCATATCTCCGAACGCAAGTTAAGTGCAGTAGCTTGTCATCGGGTTTAAGTATATGTTTACTTTCGCCCCTCCGCGCGGTATTACACGTCAACATTCCTCCTCTCGCATCTCGGGACAAATATCTAGCGTAATATCTAACGTAACGTAAATATTTGTAATGTAAATTAGATAGGCCAGCGTTGCGCTTTGCATCTCTCGTGGCCGCGATTTATGAGGCCGTTAGCGCGCGGCCATCGGGCGAAATTTTCCCGCGCTCGGCCGATAGCTCATTACGCGAACGTCTATTTGTTGCCGAGCGTTATTAAATTCACGGTAAGGAAAAAGAAAGGGGAAAGAGAAGAGACGACGAGGGGGAAGGAAAAATACAGACAACGCCACGGGGTTGAAGCGAAGGCCTTCGCGAAAGGAGCTCTTGACCGGTTTTAATTTCAACTTCAACCGCGAGACGTCAGCCGCCGGCGAGAACGCGCTCGGATAAAGCGTGCAAATCGCGGAAGTGCGCTATTGTTTGCGCATGGCTTACCCGATCACGGTTCTATTTTCATCGTGTCCAAGCGTTATCGTCCGCGGGATGATAAACGTGACGAATGATAGACGCGCGATAAATCGCCGGGGTCTCGTCTCTCGTGACGGGACTTTTACGCCGGCACGTGATACAAGGGGGAAGGAGATAAAGTCCTGTCTTTTCGCGCTTATCTCACGGCAGAGCGGAGAACGGAGTCAACGTGATTGTGTCTCCGTTGAGTGGCGCAAGTTCGCAAGTTTTATCTGGACGATCCTTATCTCGTTAGCGTTCTCCGATCGGCCGCGTCGGAGCCCTCGTTTCGCAACGAATTACCAGGAATTGAATTAGTTTACGCGAGCAGATAAGGACCACGAGAGAGATAGATCGCTCATGGCGGAAGTCTGCTACTACCGCTACCGCCGCCGCCGCCGCCGCCGCCGCCGCCGCCGCCTCCTCCTCCTCCTCCGTTTCTCGTTTATCAATCGATACGCCGATATCGATTTCACGAAGCGGAGCAGT